TTTGTGGATCGGAATGTCTAGGGAAGACTAGAATTTCCGAACACATAATATATGGACGTGCAGGATTGGATGAGGGCTGGTTCTCACCGGCATACCCCCATGTGGGAAGATTAGGTTGGCTAGGTCAACCTAATGATTAAAGAATGGCACATTAAAAGACTTAAAACCTGGAAGAGGGGCCCTGGAAGAAGGGTGTTGCCTGGAAGAGGGCTGAACCTTGGAGAGGGTTCGCGATCATAGGACATGGTCAAAATCTCCAAAGAAAGTTCGGATCTTGATGTTGAGACTTGATGATTCCAAAACCGTTTCGGAACATTCGATCGAAGTTTGATCAAGGTCGGGGTTGAACACGACAGACAGGCTAGATGGAATACGAAAAGGGCATGGTCAAAAGTGACCAGTCACTTTTTGCTTTCTAGATTGGCAAGATAAAGTGAATGGGAAAAATTAAAATTTGACCGGTCAAATATGACCGGTCACTTTTTAGCCGGTTGGATTTGAGGAAATCAGATAAATATGGAAAACTTTGATTTTGACCGGTCTAATTTTTGACCCGGCACCTGGGCAGAAAATTTGACGTCATGATTGGTTACGTAGTGCAACCAAGCCTTTGGAAGTTGATCAAAACAAATTCAACCTAGACGATTGTCACATTCCAACCTGGAAGTTAACTGGGTTAGAAGACAAGTCAAAAACAAGGTGACCTAGATGTTTTCAACTCTAGAGACCGGGACATAAGATGACCTGGAAGTATTCAAGCCTTGCATCTAAGATGCTCTTCAAAACTTCTAATCTAGCCTATCAACCAGGACATGAGATGACCTGGACATTTGTTGCAGCTCAACCTAGCATCAACATAGCAGTAAGCCGGTCCAGAAGACTAGTCAAGCATGAGGTGCCCTGGACGTTTCTTGGAGAATGAGAATAAAGGTTTAGACCTGGACGTTTCAAGGGGTTGCTAAACCTGGACACCTTCAAAACCAATCTGACCAGGACATGAGATGACCTAGACGTTCTTAAAATGTTTCTTAGGGGCATGAAATGACCTGGCCGTTTTCAAGACTTGCACTTGACCAGGATATGAGATGACCTGGACGTTTTCAAGATTTGCACTTGACCAGGACATGAGATGACCCGGACGTTTTCAAGACTTGCACTTGATCAGGACACGAGATGACCCG